TCTCTGTGTGTCAGGATTAGCCAGCCTGCCTGTGTGTCAGTCAGTATTTCAGGAGCCCAGTCAGCGCGGTCACTCTCTGTGGGCTGGTGCCTCCAGCTCTCTCAGCTCTATGGATCCCCAGTTCCTGGTGAGCCTCATGAAGCGCTTCTGCCCGTGTCTCGGCGTGCTTGCGGTACGTACCTCCGCTCGGTGTGCCGCGGACAGGGACTGGAGATGGGGGGGGGGGGGGTAGCCAAGGGCCAGGAATGCCAGGAGAGTCAGAGGAGACACCGGAAATCATCTCTCAATCATCCATACAATGGATGCATGGATGGACACTCTGGGATCAGGGACCAGGCTGCTTGCAGACTGGTGAAACAGAGCATCCCAGTGCAGGCAGTCACAGCCCAGATGCATAGTCCAGGACAAGAAAAGATTCATGATCAGGGAGAAACTAGCAGACAAAGCCAACGGTGAATCTGGGAGTCGTGATCGAGTTACAGTCCCAGTTCAAAGCCAGAGGTGGAAGTCCAAAACAGACAGTAAACCCAAGCCGAGGGGGTGATCAAGGAAACGATCGAGCACAAAGCAGGGGTCAGAGCTCAAGCAAAGGGAACAAACGCAAAAACAACGATCAAGGGGCTCAGTGTCCAAACTCAACGGCAGAGTCCCGAGCTGTGTCGGGTCTGAGTACGTATTCAGAGCAGCACCTGGAACGGTTCTGGTTGTGAACCGACTCCAGGTGCTCCAAGTCTCCAGGTGACTGGTTTTCTGCGGCAGCCGGAGAAGGGACAGAGGTAGATCGTGACGTCACCAGCCACCACGCCACTGCTGTCTCGCCCCGCCGTCCAGCAGCCGGGACAAGCATGACGGTTGCCACCTTCTGATGGGTGTCTGACCCAGCTGCCTGCCACTGGTTTGCTCCCTGTCGCCCACAGAGTCAGGACTGGGGCAAGAGCGATGAGCGCCTGCTGCAGGCTGTGGAGCAGAACGACCCCGAGAGAGTCGCCGCCCTGCTGGTGAAGAAGGGGCTCTGCGCCTCCAAGCTGGACCCCGAAGGAAAATCGGCGTGAGTGACCGCCGCCCGCTCAGCACAGCCCACCACCCAGACACCCAGGGGTCTTGGGCTTGTGCTCTGACAGAGGGGGGGTGTGTCTCTCTCGTTCGGGGGGCTGCAGGTTTCACGTGAGTGCTGCACGCGGCCGTGTGGACTGCCTCGAGGTCATCCTGACACACGGAGTGGACGCCAACTCTGTTGACAGCACAGGTACAGCGTTCCCCCGACACAGCCGCCCGGCCGGGCAGAGACGCACGGGAGACAGGCCAGCAACAGTGAAGGACAGGAGCAGTGTCACAGGACCTGGCCAGCTTGACTAAGGGGCGTTTTTTCTCTCCCTGCCCCTCTCTCTGCCTCTGATCGCCCTCGTCCAACCCTCCCCTCCCCTCCGCTGCGCCTCTGGGAACCTGACTCTTCTTTCTGTCTACGGTCCCCCCCTTCTCTGACCCCCTCCCCCTCCCCCCCCCGCAGGCTTCAACGCACTGCACCTCGCTGCCAGGAATGGGCACCCCGAGTGTGTGAAGAGACTGCTGCAGGTGAGCCAGGGCGGGGGCCAGCGTAAATGGGGAGGGAGTAGAGCTGTGGACAGTGCCCTTGTGCCAGCAGAGTCCTGACTGGACAGTGCCCTTGTGCCAGCAGAGTCCTGACTGGACAGTGCCCTTGTGCCAGTAGAGTCCTGACTGGGCAGTGCCCTTGTACCAGTAGAGTCCCGACTGGGCGGTGCCCTTGGGCCAGCAGAGTCCTGACTGGGCAGTGCCCTTGGGCCAGCAGAGTCCTGGACAGTGCCCCTGTACCAGTAGAGGCCTGAATGGGCAGTGCCCTTGTGCCAGTAGAGTCCTGACTGGACAGTGCCCTTGTGTCATTCAAAGCAATGCTTTCTGCTAACCAGTCGACCCTCAGAGAGCCAGAGAGGATGGGCTCGTTTGCCTTAATTCTACAGTAGTTCAATAAAAAAGGAGATTTAATTTTAGTGACTCTTTCAGTTTTTGGCTGTTTTAAACCTGGAATCTGTTTTCTGCCTGAGCCTCACTGCCTGTGTCCCCCGGCTGCAGGAGCGCGTGCCGGTGGACTCCACAGACGCTCACGGCAGGACCGCGCTCCACCACGCCGGTGAGACCCGAAACCTGCACTGCCCTCCGTAAACCCCCCCAGTGTAACCCCGATTCCAGCCAAGCACCTGGAATCCCCCCCCCTGTAGCACAGCACAGTGTGGTGCACCCTAATACCCCTCCATTGGTTTCAGGTAGACACCAGCCCAAGAAACAGTTCAATAAACCCTTGCTCCATTTTCCAGAGCCTATCCCAGCATGCAACGGGCACAGGGCGGGAAGTTCAGTGAACCCTTTCCTTCAGGGCTGTGTGACTGACCCTTTCTCTCTCTCTCCTTCTTCACTCTTCTCTCTCTCTCTGGGCAGCGGTCAGCGGGTGTCTGGCATGCACGCAGACTCTGTGGGACTTCAAGGCTTCTCTGGACGCTCAGGATGGGGTGAGTGTACCCAGCTGCAGGGATGGGGGAGGCGTGCCAGTGGACACGCTGACCGGGGGCTGCTGCTTCTCCTTCAGGACGGTTCCACCCCCTTGATTCTGGCGGCCCAGATGAGCCGGGTCGAGCTGTGCGCCTTTCTGGTGGACCGGGGAGCTTCAGTCAACCTGCAAGACAGCCAGGGGAGGTACGGGCGGCAGCCTTGTCCCAGCGCAGAGGCGGTGTGGAGCAGCGTCTCGCAGTATTGTGACGGTGCTGTGTTGCGACACGGTTGTGTAGCGCTGCGCAGCGCGGTGTTGTGTACACTCGCGACGTGACCAGGCCGCGCGTTGTGCCGTTGCGCAGGACGGCCCTGATGCTGGCCTGCGAGAGCGACAGTCTGGAGACGGCGCAGCTGTTGCTCCGGGCCGGAGCGGACCCCCGTCTGGCCGACGCCCTGGGCCGCACCGCCGCTCACTACAGCGTCGCCACGGGCAACCAGCGCGTCCTGCGGCTGCTGCAGCGTTCCTCCGGAGACGCAGGGGGCGGCGGTGAGTCACACTGAGGCACCTCTCTCTGTGTGCGTGAGAGCGGCCGCGCAGTGCAGGGGGTTAATGTTTCTCGCTGTCTGTGTCTCTCCCAATGCACCCCGCAGCCACGGAGTCGGGCTCCAGCGAGGAGGTAAACCCGGTCGGTTCGGTTCGGTCCATTCCCATTCAGAAACCACAGTCCCGTGACAGTTACCATTGTACATGAGCGCAGTGCAGCGCAGCACAGTGAGATCATGGTAAAAGCAAGGTAGAGAGGCTGATGTGGGACCTGCAGAAGCAAAGTGAAGGGTGAGCATGCTGGAATCGTACTGCAGCACTGCTCAGCAAACCCTCAGGCTAGGCCCGATCGGCCCGCTGGGAAGCCTGGGATACGCTCCGCTGGCCGACACGCTTCGGAGCATCGGCTCCTCCCGGCCCTCTCGGGACCGGCCGGTGGAGCAGTCACTCGCGCGCGGCTCGCGAGCCCCTTTCTGCGCTGTTGTGCTATCTCTGATCCGCAAGGGCTGTGCTGGTGTTCGTGCCCGTGCAGAGCCCCGCAGTCCACAGTCAGCGCTCATCAGTAGCTGTCTACCCACCTCCTTGGAGGACAGGCAGAGAGAACTGAGCAAGGGAACAGCAGGGCTGGGAAACCACGGCCTCCTGACTGACACCTCTGTGTTGCTGTTCCTCCTGTCGCTGATGCTCGTCCTGTCTGTCCGTCCCTCTGCCTGTGACCCCAGCAGCCCCCGGCCCCCCCACCCCTGCCTGCAGGGGGCCGGGGAACAGGGCCCCGCAAGAGGAAAGCCCCCCCGCCACCTGGTACCCCACCCTCGCCACAGGTACGAGACAGAGGTTGAGTTTGGGGGGCATCTTTATAATGCTGAAATGTATAAAAGAATCCATTATCTACACGTTCTCACACATTAGGGCTGGTGCACATATCTATTTTCATGTAGATTTCACATCCCGGGAGTTCATATGGCTTGTGTATATACTGTAAATGAGTTTAAGATGTTTTCATCTCAATTAATTAATTTAATACTTTGATTAAAGTATTGATTGATTGATGGCTTAATTATAGCTAACCAGATTTAATGCAAGCTACTCAGTTGATACTTGGGTCGAAAGGATGTCAGTCGTTCTGTCCTGATCTCTCCTTATCTTGTGACTCAGGGCCCCAGCCCCTCCCCAGAGCCGCCCAGCCCCCCAACACCTCCTGCCCTGTCTCCAGAAACACAGCGCCGCCCGGAGCCCAGCATGGTGAGTTACAGGCTCTGCAGCCTGGTTCCTGGCAGCTCAGCTGTGTCAGAAAGGTGAGAGTTTGAGTTTGAGTCTGTTAGTCTCATGGTCTCGGACTCGGATGTAGTACTAATATCCCATTACCATGCTAATTTGTGTAAATGGGGGATATACTGTATAAAGTTCACATCCCTGCGCAGGTCGAGGATGAAGAGGTGTTTGAGGAGATCCGGAGACTGCGGCTGGAGAGAGGACGTCTCCTACAGAAGATCAAGAACCTGGAGCAGCAGCAGCACAGCGCCCACACAGCTCTGGAGGAGGTACTACATCCAGACATGCACTGCCCA